CTGGGTTTTTTTATGGTGTCAACAGCCCATTGGATGTGTTATTTCGAGGCACTGTTAAAGAAAAATTATGCTCGCTGTACTGTGCTAAAAGACAAAATTTTCTCACCCCAATATTCCTTTTTCATGTTCGACCTAAGTTCAGTCCATTTTACTCTGTGTCCTTCAGTTTAACAGCATTTTCTAACTCCAGGAAAGAATTAAAGAACTGGCAGATTTGCCACGCTCTTTGGCCTGATGTGTTCTCTGATGTTGCCCTTTTATGAGCACGTCAAATCTAGAATAAACTAGAATCTAAGTAAGATAAGATGGGAATTGTTCAATCGTTGCTTACTTAACAGATAGCGCGAGGATTCGCGTCTCAATTCTTGGCCGGCGTAGAAAAACAAACAAAGAATCAAACAGACAAAAAAAAAATTACTTGAATTACACCACTGTGCTCCCTCGCCTTTGTATGCGGTTTAATACTTTGAATGACGTTGTTGCGAGTTCTTTGTCCGTCGAATTTTTCAATCATACCACAGGAGTAAGGTTACTTAGGACTCACTGCACCATATAACATTAGTATTGTGCAAAGAATGTTAAGATTTTGAACGATGCTTAGGGCTGAAGGCAACATATAATTTTTAGTTTAGACGTGTGGAGACGATTATTGTTATTCACATTCTTTTACATTGTTTGAGCGTTTTCTCAGACGAAAGAAAGTAATCCAGAAGAAAACAGAAAAAATTTGGACAAGTTTTACCTGAAATCTCATGTAGTAAGTTTCAATATTTTGCAACGAGCTATCATGATTTTGATACCGCTTAAGACAACTCTTGACTGAAAATATACCTCAACGGACTATCTACTGACAATGACAGAAAAAAGTGCTCACGACAATGAAGTCCATGTTTCGCCCAAAAAAACTGAGAATTTCTCAATTGAAGGCTCCCTCTCTCAATTCCAATAAAGGTGCCGAGGTGCCACGGAAGGTCAAAGCTATTCTATTCAAAGTCTAGCCTGTAAAAGTACTTATTATCATTTCCGTTCATCAGGTTTTATGTTTAAACAAGGTGTGTTTGGTATAGGGTCGAACACGGTCCAGGTGTTTTAAGTCAAGGATCTATTTACCTCTCTAAATTTCCTGATTAAAGTGGGTCAGACTATTGAGCTTTTGATAATGAGCGATATCGGTGTTGGGGTCGAAAGACTGTGGGTTTCTAATCGACTCAATTTATACTTTATGCCATTTTCATAAGAAAACCGGTGTGTCTGCTCCATTTTTTATTGCACTGATTTCAGATAAAATTACCTAAGAAAGTCTTTGTCTGATTGACATGCAAAATCCGACACAATTACTCGTGCTTGGTTTGAAACTGTTCATGACTGTTTTGTCACCAGTCTCCTCCAGTTAGCTCGGGTACCTTGACCCAACACTCCATGCCCCATGGGAAAAAACTTGTTGAAGATGATCGATGAATGTTTATATAAAGGGGTCGGTAGATGCGATTGATACTTCCTGATCAAACTCTGTTGAAATGAGTTTCGTCCTTAAACGGAAAAAAGGTAATTTATCATGCTTATGGCAGCCTTGATTGGATCAGGAAATTTAACAATGGTAAATTTGATTAAGCGATGTTATGTCTTTTTGCTTTAATGAACCCTTTCTAGAACTCAGATGAAGCTTTCATCATGTCTTTTAGCGGCAGTTTTTCTACATGAATTAAGTCACTTTGCGAAAAAAAGATGGAGAGACATTTCTTGTTCTCACATCACGAGGAGTGATATTGAAATTCACAGCTTATCATAGATATAGATGTGCTCCTTGCTAGAATTCTGCGTTTTTGGGGAGTTTGAGTTTGATGACTGATGTAGCTTTTTTAGTCACAGTTTGATTAATTCCGTCCACAATTATTGGATCAGGAAATGACTCAATAAGATCACTTTAATTAAAATATGCTTTAAAAAACAGTAAATAACTTAAACCGTGATCTCTTCCTTCTGGCAACTTATCTCGATGTAATCCAAATAGAAACATACCTTACGGGTAGAACGTTGTCATGATTTATGCTTCAAATCAAACTATTCACGTATCGGAAAATCTCCCCGAGCAAACAGCTTCATTTGCTTCAATCTACGAGTGTGTGGATTGCACGGTGTTCTTATATCGTACATGGCATTCGCGCAAAAGTAAAAGGTCTTATAACGTAAACAACGTTTACCCTTTGTTCAACAAAAGCCCGTCCTAGACAATCCTCAGTTTAGCTGAATCTTTTATCTGTACGTTTATTTTTCTAAACTGTATCAAGAGTGACGACGAAAGCTAACAGTGCGGAAGGACATTTCTTTAGTTAAGTCAACTCTCTCAGAGAGAAAGCCTTAGGCTCACTGATTGCGTAAAACCGTGGTTTGGGTTAGACCTTGTATAAATAACCACCTGAAGGGTTAAAAAAAAAAAAAAGACTAAAAGACGATTCGCCTTACTCAGGGGAGAAGACGACCTTTACATGTGGCTTTTCGAACAGATAATTTTTCCTATTTACCCTGGATTTATCTCATTCCAAAATGCCTGATCGAATGCAACTTTTAGCCACACTAAACGTAGATGCTAAAACGCCTTTTTTTGTTTTTACAATTTGAACACTATTCGCCTTTCTAATGGCCATTTTACAGTGCACTCTTTGTGTCCTGCTGAGCTTGCGTGCTTTAAGACTAATGTGACAATTGGATGTAATTTAATGCATTCACTTACCTCCTGTGAAGTCTTGTCTAGAAGGAAAAATTACCGCACATGAACAACTCAGTTGTACTCTTTGTGAATCGTAATTGTTTTATGTGCAAATGTGATGAATTAGCAAACAAGAATTCCAAACAAACCAGATTATACTTTCAAGTGATGTGTAGTGGCGCTAAACTATTCACGAGTACATGGCGAGGACGCACTCTTTATAATGACTGGCCTTGAGTTAATAGAACGCTAAGTTTGGTTAGAACACTAAAAATGCATTCAAAAGTTGCAACATGTTTAGCGAAGAGAATGAGTTGCGCAGACGGCGCAAGAATCCGACATATTGTATTTGCGGAGGGATTAACTAACGGAGGCTGGTTTTTTCAGCCTAATCTTGTTTTACCTGTCTCATTAGTGGTTAAGATTTATGATTACCACCACTTTTACTTTAGTCTTACATTGTGCAATAGGCTGTGACTAACTATATTTATTCATATTGAACCAAAGCAAAAAGTTAAAACTAAAGAGCTGAAGAGCTAGGACTCGGGAACTTCTTGAAATAATTGTTTCCCAGGGTAGGCAAACATTCAAGAGATGACAACAAGCGAACTCGCAATTTTCTACCTCTTTCATCCCCTGTTCATTAGTTTAAGGCAGAACGAGGTCATGTTTAATCGTGATCGTTTCATCAGTGCTATATGAACCCGTGTCGATAAAATTCATCAGTCGAACTGTAATATTTCTGACAAGCTCTAGATTAATTTCCTGTATCGAGATACTCGTACAGGCACCAGGTCATAGTGAAAAGCTCTGCACTAGTTTTCATTGCAAGTCTTAAAGACTAGAGGTAACATGGCACTCCGGGGCCAGTCCAAAGTCCCTGAGATTTAGCATAAATGTTCCAAAACTAACTGGCGCCAGATCTGAAATAGCAACAAAAGGGTTCAAACCAAGCACTAACTAAACTTAAAAGAGCATGTTTGTTTCATTATTGGGCTCCTGTCGCAAGGCTATGATCACTTTTTAGCTTCAAAGGTTAGTGTTAAGTTTTCCAACGCGCTTCGGCTCTTCGAGTCATAACCGATAGGAAAGATTCAAAGACTGTGAGTGTCAGCTCTGTCTAAGCACTTTCAAAGCCTGGCGCTTTTAGAACACTGAAGTGCATTGGGATTTAGTGCATCCGAGTTGTGCACTTAGAATGCGTGGACAACAGCCACAGATCCAACCACAAATTACTACACGAGAAGTTTCAGAATCAAGTCTGACGCTTCTCTACCACTAAAGAGCATTGGGCTCTTGTGCATCTGTTGTGCACTTAGAATGCATCGACAATAGCCACAGATCCAACCAAGTCCATATGAACTTGATGGCAAAGGAATAGAATCGAAAGACACCAATCCTTACCCTCTGCTCCCATTTCGCTAAGAATCAAGTTACATTCCAGGTTCCTTTAACAAAAGTCAATTTCAAATCCATTAAAAGATTGCAAAAGTTAGTCAGTAGGCTATTCATAAGACTGTGGGGATCTTCAAAGTCCACAATATTATTGACGCTTCAGAAGTTACTGCTAATGCAACGTCAAAAATGATAATCCAAATCACTTATTGTATAGCGAAAGCCCTGAGGAAGATTCACTACTATGCCATAACAGCTTGAGCAGTCTGAGGCTGGACTCCTTTTAGCAACAGTGCTTCAGGAGTTTATTCTAGACGGTAGACAACATCAAGAACGGGTTTTGACAGCCAAGTGACCGATAGTTTGTGAAGTTTTATAGAAGAAAGTGAAAATTGAATGATCACATCTTGTGGAGGAAAGAAAAAAAGGGCTGCGACAGTTTGCAATAGGAGCCACAGAGAGTAAGCGAGAACATAAATGAAGACGTGGTAAGACCGACCTGGACGAAACAAAATGGAGAAGCAAGGTAGCCACAGCGACAAAGAAGAAAAGAGGAACCAGTAACATGCCCTCCAAGGACGTAGCTCCTGACAGAAGGAATCCAGTATATTAGCGCGGAGGCTTTTTAACGCTTACTGGAGCGAGACGATCTGTCATGACTGAAGTTATATTAACATAACACTTGTAGGTTACTTCTCTCCGCACTATGTTAGCACGTACACGGTCGCATGCCAGGCCACATTTTGGGTGAATAGACTTGACAAATTCTTCATTCATCAGGTAAAAAAGCGGTCCATGGTTGCTAAGATTTTATATTCGTTGCCTTTCTGACAATGCTTAATATAGTGGATAGATCGAAAAAGAGTCAACAATCCACAAAGAGAGTGACCCAGATAGTTCCATTTACTCAAGTTAGGGTGAAATACCTCTAAACGTAAAGACGATTTGGCAATGTGAATATTATCCCACATGTTTTTTGAGTTGGAAAAAAGAAAGAGAGAAGTTGAGAGCGACGAATTAAACTAATCTATCAAACATACACAAGAGTCTACCAAACTGAGAACAACCAAAAGTTAAGTAGCCTTACATAACATTGCATAGCGAAAACTATGATAATGAATAGCACTCTAGCACGCAAGTTCTAAGTATTTACAACTGACACCACAGTCTTATCACCTCCAACTTTCATTGCCAATGATGACGGAGGAATTTCAATATGGACCAGTATGCAAGAAGGTGTAACAGTACAACGACTTTTAAGCAATTTACGTTACTACTAGTAAGATTGTTTTGAACATTTCTTGCTTCCAAAGACTTGCTAGGAATGTGCTATTATCTCCTAGGGAACGTCACTCAAAACAACGCTAGAGAAATGACGCTTTGAAGTATTCAAGTGCCAAACAATATTGTCGTTTCAGCATGATTCAGAAACTTTCATGTCCTGTTTGTAAATTATTTGTCAGCGGTTTGATCTGCTCATAAGGGGGTGGAATACCAACGATTACCTGTAACAAAAATGAAACGCTTTGAAATCTAATATGATCTCGAGAATTTCAATATTCGCGCATGCGAGCACCTGGTTGTACCTTATAAACAATGCATCACACTTGGCGTCGAGCAGACGTGTTCAGAAATGATTATGTCTCAGATTGAGCGACGTTTTTCCGGTGCAAGTAATTAACAAATTGGTTGTCCACTTAGATATAGCCTTGCCACAAATTCTCATTGTCTTATTGTTCGTTGCATTCATCTGCAGCACGCATTCTGCCTATTGGTAATCTCTGTCGCTATGAAAGGGACTCAAAACAAGAAACCATTAATATTTAACCATTGAGATGAATAGCGAGAAGGCGAGGGGCCGATCTGCCCATTTTGGGTCATAATTTGGAACCGTTTCCCACATGACGTGACATCGATTTGGTGTCAAACTTATTTCCCTCCGTCTGATCGAAGTAATGGCAGGAAATTTATCACATGCACAATTATTTACTGCCCCAGAATAACTTTGTTTCCAATTACGAACGTCAGTTTTTGTATCATCTCACAGTAACGTTCATTGATGACGGCTAGCCACAATCTAATCTGTTTATTGTAGCTAATCCCGGGAAGTTTGGTAATTGAAACAAACTGCTGGCCAATAAAGGTTGATATCATTACTATCCAGATGTACCTTTGTGTCATATTTTGGCCTGCAGTGACGAAGGAGAACGAGAATCTATATAGGATTCATACGGAAAATACACTTTTGGCTTGCTTTTACATTATTACAGCCAAGACTCTACTCGAAGGTCAGTTGAATGCTTGGGTGATCTAGCCATATAACTTTGAAATTTATATCTCTTTGATGACGAAGGGTGGTTTTTCCTCCTGCAAGTATTTTGTTGAAGTAATGCATGTCTGTCGATTGGTCAGCACAAAAGAACTACAATGCGGGAGTGGATGTATTTTTTCCTGTTTTATCAATGAATTCACGGTGGAATTTCCGTAATTCAACCTCACATTCGTATGGAATATCTTCCTGAAGGCTTCGATTGCTCCGTGAACAATCTAATATTCGTGACAGTGGTGCAAAAGTGTTGAAGGCTCCAAATTAAGAGAGTGATCACTGATGCCATGACAAACTCAAACGCTACAAGTTGAGAACAACGTCATCCAGGAGCATTTCTGTGGAATAGTCTTGGGTCAATAGCTCGGGGTCGACTTGCTTCAATAGGCTTCAAAGAAGACAGAGGGCTACTCAAGAACTTGGTCTGAGAAGGCACAGTTCGAATGTGTAACCAAACACCTTGGGCATGTTCGCCTTTTAACTCAAACTCTCAATTCTGAAATTGCTGATAAACACTTATCTGACAGATGATGCGATAATTCTCGCTAATGAGTCTTCACTTGTAAGGTCCATTAGAGAGTTATTCTTTTCCCAGAGCGTTTCTCGTGACCGACGCAGTTTTCAGCATCGTCATTCGAAGGTATGGCCACCTAAATAAGTAACTTGTCACAGTTTTCACAAATTTAAAGAGAAAAATCGCTCATAACTTCACTTGCATTCTTTCCACAACGGTCTTTTCCCAGTAACTACAGCCTACGAAACTGATACTATCTCGTGATGTTTGCTTTGGTTATTACAGTTTATCCCTCGATCTCTCTCTTCGGACACGATGATGAAAGCAAACAAGGGGTGTTCACCTCACCTTATCAAACAAATCCCTGAAATGTTTGCATGTTTTTATGCTAATCCCAAGTCCGGGATTTCGTGGCAGTTCTCAAGAATTTCATGTTGAGCGGAAACGATGTCTACTGCGATTTTGACAGGTTGAGAAGTGTAATAGGTATTTGTACACAGTTGGTGAGAGAAACGATTTGTTAAGCATCCGTGAAACAAACATAAGTGTAATTTTGCTCGATTGAAAAAATTTTGAGTCAGCATCCTCTCAGACAACGATCCAAATTTCACGAAAATTGCAAATCTTTCTTTCTTTGCAAAAGACGTTCATAAGGGCCTCTCAGTTTTGGAATGATTCGTTTCAACCAGCTTTAATCGGAGAGGGAAATATAGCAAGCTTAATAAATTCCTTGCGGTTTGGGAGCGAAGTATTTCACCCACGCCAAAGTGAGGTACTTTGTGCATTGAGTCGAATTAAACTGAAATGCTCATTTAATTGGTCTTGAATGTTTGTTAAAGCGCCATCAAAACATAACTTTACCAATAAGTTGAAGTTAAATTTTTTTCGCTGAAATTTTCCGATGGCTTAAAATCTTGATAGATGAACTCTTTTGAAAGAGTGAAATAGTTGTAAAAATACATTTGTAAAATAGGGGGTTTGGTAATTTTTTAAGCCTTAAACCTGACTCAGTCAAGGCGCTTCATTGGCTTTTTGCCTACGTTCAACTGGGTCGGCGCTAGAAACTTAACTCGTACTGACTGACAACTGAGTCCAAGAAGAATTGCAATGCTACGGCGTTTCTGCAGCAGCGATGACTTCTGTCATTTAAAACAAAAAGAATGAAATCTTTTGCAAGTGACAGACAAAAATCCGATCAAGAATAGCTAAACTCTGAGGAATCCGGTTGATAAGCAACTACCCGTCTCATTTTACGGTCAGTTCAAATGGCTCGTACAGTTGAGATAAGTTAACTTGCCATGCTTGTGGTCAGCTAACAGCAAGGGTATCCCACATTTACTACGTTTTTCGCCGGCCTGATACTCGAACAAAAAATGCTAAAAAATTTCACCTCAAGTGTTGTTTTACATTTTGCGTAAAGATCTAGAGGTCTATGTATTGTTCTCTCGAGCCCGAAGATTCTGCATTTAATTTGCGGTCGGCTGAAACTCAATTTTTTTTGTTTATTTCCAGTCAACTGCAGCGGATACCACTTAAATCACTCCAACTTTTTTTTCACGAATGATGACTGTATTTTAAAGGAATTCTGTTTGTTATTGAATATCGTTCTCCTCTTGTGAGCATTTTTATAGGATACTTTCGAACCACTTATTCTCACTGATAAATTATCATCGTGATGATGTCATCAGAATGATGTCATCATGACTCACTCGTCCTCAGGCCTTGTCAAAATAATGAAGTTTTTGACGGCTGGCTAAGGAAGCGTGGCGGAGAATTTTTCAAATTTATAAAGACATATTTCTACCTAAATTTCCCTGAATACTTAGCAGTCAGATGGAGAAAATTTTGTTTCATTCGCCCCTATGAAAACAAAAGCAAACTTTTCAATGGAAGACAGTACGGGGCCAATATAAGAGGGGTAGGCAAAGCCTAAAGCGCGGGAAACACAGGAAAACACACGAGCTGCCTTAGTCATCTGACTGGTTGAGAGGGAGTCGCGGTTTTTCTAAGTCAATCACAGAGTGGATTAAAGCAAAGCCAATGCTCTCCCGGATGTTCTCTGTCATTCAATTTAAAGGTATTGAACACACGAGGAAAGAAGAAGATGAGAGCAGCGCTTGTTCCTCGTTAATGCAAACTCCACGTATGAAATGTGTAGAAATAGTTGCTTCTGATTTTCTGAAGGATAGAAGGAAACCATGAACTTTTTTTCGTCTTTTTTTAATCACTTTGTTCAAGCGAAGATTCGCGGAGCAAAAATATTTTTCTCTGTAAAGCGTGAAGTAATTTCAACAAAAAGTTGAAAATTGCCCTTTTTTGTTAAGGCTTTCGGAAATCAACTTTTATGATCATTAACTTTGTCACCATACACTCGCATCCATCTTTCATCGTTTTACATCCCTCTAGAGGCTATGCAGTAACGTCTGATTAGACCACAACCAAATCACTCCCTGTAACCAATTAAAACGAATTAAAGACGGCAAGGGGCCAGGCAAAAACTGAGTAAAAACGTGCAAAGTTCTTCAAGCCCGGGGAAGTGCGCGTGACCAAGTCTCGGTTCCTTCTACCATAAGTTGGCAACACATCAGGTGATTTTAAACGCCTATGACGAAAAACTTGATCGACGTCAACGATATTCACAATCGAATTTCGCCTTTGATAGATTCGGCCACGCGGCCCTTCCACTTTGTTCTAAGGCTCCATTTTGAAATTTGTGTGATCGAAATTGTATCACCTCACGTTTTTCCGCAGTATTACCACTGACTTGAATACATCCAATACTACTAAGAAAAAAAAAATGGTTAACCGATCTTCTGGCGACATGAAATGCCAAATATAATTACAGGCACACTGCAAAATTGTCATATGATTCAAGAAGGGTTTCGAATACGATCTCATTGACATCTCACGTGCGAAAAAGCTTATTCATTCCTCACGTTTCGAAGAAGAACTATTACTTGAATGCATCCAATACTAGCTACAAATAAGGCTTTTTTTTAATCCACCAACCACCCAACCAAACATTTTCCTTCAAGTCTGACCTGTCAGAAATTTTTGACGCAAATTTTCGCCTCACTAAAAAAAAGTCATTTCTTACTGATTGTTACGAAATGTAACAAAGACGCTGCAAGTTCAAATTTTATCGTCGCCAGCATCCCTCCTGGGTTTTTTAAACGCTCTAACGTCCCTCACGTTTGTGTGGGGTATTATTACTTAAATGCATCCAATATCCCTAAGGGTTTATTTTATGCTCCTAATTGAGATGTTTTCGCATTTCCATTCAATATTCAAAATATTGAATCTTTTCCACTTGCCCCCACTAGGCATGAAAATATATCATGATAACAATCCCTTGGGCTGTAATGTTGTTTAATGTATTTTATATCGCCCATTAATTCCAAATGTTTTCATTTCTTTTGGGCCAATAAAGAAAATGAAGCATCCAAACCTAAGGCCCTCGCAGGTACTTGTTTAGCGGTCTTTTCGTGACACGAACTAACTTGATGCGAGTTGAACTCAGTAGAGTTATAATCAAGCTTGGTTCGGGCTGTTTTTCTGAATCGTTTTTTTTTTTTTTAGTTGATAAAGATTCTTTTTCTTTAAGCTGCAAACATAATTTTTTTTTTCACCCTTAATTAAAAGTTATACCGGACTTGCGATACATGTATTTCGGTGAATTCACTCCACTCACCAGTCTTATCTCAGTTGTCAGTTAAGTGAAAATTCTTACTACTCCAGATTAAAACCGCAATTGTTTATAAAATTCGAGTTTCTGACCACAAATCTATTTTCGTCTCAAAAGTCCTTGAGATTGCTACTTATTTCCTCTCAGATTTGTTACATTTTTATACAATATCTCCTAACGGCAGTGTTAGTAGGATTAGCTTTCTTCGAACTTGACTCGAGCCACACCTTCACGAAACATGTTCCTTGCTGAAAGAGAAGCTTTCGACCACACGGTGTTTCAAAATTAAAGAAAACAATGATTATAAAATCTCGAGAGCAAACGAATTCGCACTTAAAAAGGACTTGGAGGATCCTTCTTTCCGTGATTTTTAGTTTAGCTGCAGTGATTTTGGATGCGGAGGAGTGACAGCCGTGATCAAATTCATGACATTTTCCATCAACTTAGACTAAATCCAAATTCTTTCAAATAATGCGCTTGCTAGCAAACGTGGGAAAAGCATGCAGTAATATTGGGTCGCAGTCACATTCGGTCAAATGGTTCGAGTGACTGTAGACTGTTGAGAGAATCTCATTGGTAGCTGGCGTTTATAGCTTTCAGTTAGATTCCCTGACACAATGCTTGTCAAAGTGCCTAGTGACAGGGCGCTTGATATCGACGTTGACATTGTAAACTGCAATTGCTGGACATTCTATTTGGGGGGTTAATCGGCATTGAAATAAAGCGCTTTAGTGAAAGCCGTGTTTCGCACTCGGTATGAAGTCTGGTCAGTACATCTTTGCAGATACGCAGACAGTACATCTCTTCAGCGAGTCTCTGACAGTAGCAGCAGTTTCTATCAAATACATAATTCAGTACAGAGGTGAGTTTCAGTTGCAACATAAAGTTTTCTTCACGGTTTTCGTCCTTTAAATTCATCTCAGTCCATATATTTCAACTGGCAGTTGCGTAATTTCGCCACCTGCAGTTTATTGGTGAAAATCTGAATCGTAATTTTAATTGTGGACCACTAAAAAGCATTTACTTTAAAACTGTTTCTTGATTTGAACAACCTTTCCTCTAACTTGTACAAAATTGTAGAGTATGTAAACTAGATAACAATAGATGTGTTTTGGCCTGACCGCCTATCCAGCCGATATGTTTCCTAAGTAGGAAAAATGACGACATTAAGATGTTAAAGATACAGTTTTCCCTTATTTACTCTTAGCCCCATCAACTACAAACAATCTTTGCGTTGAACTGATTTTTCCTATCTTTGAAAAAAACATACGGGCAAAAATTTTCCAACTCTGCCCCCACACGAAGCTTCCTAGGATAAATGCAATTAGTTTATTTCTTCAGGAGTAAGTTGAATCATGGAGTGATAGAGCTGAAAGAATAATTCTTTAGTTATGTGCTTTCACCTGGAACTAAAACGTTAAGTGGCCGGACAAACGTAGCT